GGAGATTATATGTAATTTTTACGAAGTTTGAGCAGACAAGGATGAATGTACTTTCGCTAGATTTCCTGCTGCCGTTCCTATCTAGTTTCATGATTGCAGGTGTCTGAAAAAGTCGCATGAACAGTTGCCATCTCTTCACAGGTTTATGCTGGTAATTGTTCTGTGCCAAATCGTCGATAAAAGGGTAACTTGATGATTTCGAAGCATATTTTTGGCCTGTTTAGTATCCGATCCTGACATGTGCAATTTGATGCGTTCATGGAGATTTCTTGTACTGCGTCGACGCTGATGTTTCTTGTCTTGTCTTACCTTTGTCTGTCTGGCAAGTATATATTCTTTCAGCTCCGGTCGTGAAGCAAAGCCATGTTGTCCCTGGGCTTATGTGATCCGCACAAGTAGGAATATGAAAGAACATTGCTGGTTTTTTTTTTTGCGGATGAAAAGAACATTGATGTTACTACACCAAATGACGTTTGATTACACCACATGAGAATCGAAAAGACAAATCATACTACTGTATTACTCATGGAGTGGTATATATATACTCCTAGCAGAGGAAGTTTGACAAGGCTCGACGTCCATGCAGTTGAGCGCCATCCTTCTCGCAACAACGACACAAGTCGGCAGCTCACGCGTAAGCACACACGTAGCTGCAAGCGGGCCACGTGGGCACGGCGCGGTAGCGGTGGTCGCTTCTTCATCTCTCTCGGGAGCTGTACGCTTCGAAAACGAGCCGTGTCGACGCGAACGAGCGTCCACCAGACCACCACCACCTCCCCCTCCTCTCCAGGATTCCTCCACGCCGCCGCGATTTGTGGTCGGCCCCTTAACTAGCGGCAACGATACACACACAATCAATCCGTCCGCCGCCGCCTCCTCCTCCTCTCCCCCTCCTGCCTCGCCATGGCCACCGCGGAGCGAGCCCCGGAGCAGCTCGCTCCGCCGCCGCCGCCTCCCGAGCGCGTCATGGGGGTCGCGGAGCGGGCCGTCGCGGCTGCCGGCGCCGCCGTCGTCTCCGCCGTCCTCGTCAACCCCCTCGACGTCGCCAAGGTATGCGCTGCACCACTCACAACTCACAAGCGTGCCAATCGGCCAATTGCCATGCCCCAGCCTCTCTCCGCCAGAACGAAGCGAATCGTCCTCCGCGGGCGCGGGCGCGGGTCCCGCCATTTCCCAGCGCCGTCGCGAGGCTTCTAGTCTCGGTGAACAGGGGGCAACGCCTGCTCTTTGCTCCCGATAAAAGTACACCTAGAAAGTAGAGTTTGTCGGCGTGATCACTATTTTTCTGCCAAGCGAATTGGCCAGAACTTGTGACAAAAATCAAAATGTACATATAGAGTTGGACCGAATGTATTGATTCAAACCCTTATTTTATCTTGCAGACAAGACTACAGGCACAGGCCGCTGGAGTTGTCTACAATCCGGTAAGCATGCCAGTGATGCCACTTCTATCCCACACACAGCGGTTTCACAATTGAATGGTCCTACAAATTCTCTGGTCAACCAGAAATGAATTAGAAGTTCACATTAATTAAGAAACAGAGGAAAATCAAAACCATCAGTTAGACCATTTCTGTATATTGTAAGATTTATAGACCACGTGCTTGATTTTTTTTTCCTTTTGGGTTATGTGCCCCATTCTATTTTAGGAAAAAAAAAAAGATTAATATCTATGCGTACATACTTCTTTGCAGTAGATAAACCATCTGCAGCACCCAATTCTGATAATAGTTACATACTGACAAGCAGATATGCTTCTGTCAGGGTGATTTGTGGTTTTGTCATTTTTCTTCTGAAAAAGTGTGTGTGGTATTTATTTTTTGCTAATTTCTTACACAACAGTATTGCTTGCGTGTTTATTTGTTTTTCTCTGAAATACATTGCTCAGATATGGTCAGATTTTAGGTGCTATCCATGGTGTAACCCTGGTGGACTGAAGTTGAGTGGTTTAGGGCCATCCTGCAGTCCTGAATGCTTTCAGTACAGAGGAACAATGGATGTGTTCTCTAAGATCACTAGACAGGTAAAATGCACTTATTGAGCATTCTTCTTCACTGCGCTTTCCTGTTTTGGATTGATCATCTTCAGTAACGATTTTATGACCCCTTGCAGGAAGGAATTTTTAGACTCTGGAGAGGTACTGGTGCAAGCTTAGCGTTAGCTGTACCAACGGTATATCCTTTCAGCTGACCATGGCTAGTAATCTGTTTGTACTAATTGATCTATTTCATACCTTAATATTCCATGGAGCTTTCCTTGCCTTACACTTGATTTCCTCTATAACATTTCTCTTCCCATTATTTATCTTCAAGTATCATTTTGTCTGTTGTAAACGTTGTGTTCTATATATTCATGACGAAGGATTTTCTAGGGGTCTTATAATCAGGATAACTTTACTGTCCTCCTGTGAAGTCCGACACAATTTCTCTTGGTAAAGCGCAAGGGAACAAAAATAGGAAAATAACAATGGTCTAATTCATTTCGATGAAAAACATATGGATCTCGCACATTGGTTGCTCTTTAATAGCAAGTTGGATGGAATGCCCTTGTTTTCTCAAAAAAGTTTGATCACACCTGTAGCAGTAATTATTTGTCCTACAATTTGAGGTGTTCAAAAATACAAGCAGGAACAGAATTTGTGGTGTGTATATATTAATGCTTGTTTGAGGTTTGGTGTGTCTGACACAATCTTCCTATAGACTGTTACTGATTTAGGATATAATGTATCTTCTGTGCCCTCTTGGATCTGTATTCAATTTGGATTAGCATCATGGAATCTTAGAATTATACATTTTGATATAACTGACATTTTTATCTCACTAGAAATCTATGCTGTGTTTTCCAGGTTGGGATATATCTGCCTTCTTACGACCTGTTGCGCAATTGGATTGAGGAATATTCAGATCACAGTTATCCCAAACTTAGGCCATATGCCCCTCTAATTGCTGGATCTATTGCACGATCATTGGCATGTATAACTTGTTCCCCTATTGAGTTGGCAAGAACACGTATGCAGGTCAGCCTACTGAATCCTCGCTTTTTTACAGTTACCACTATTAGAAAAGAGAGCACATGTACTAGGGGATGGAAGGGGGGCCTGATATGTAATTTCGCTCTTCAACTCTTGTTAGATGTCAGAAGATTGTGTACAGTAATACTTTGTGAGACATTGTCAAAGCCTTAAGATAAGTGATGCTTTTAGAGAAGTAAAAATAAAAATATTTACTAGCTTGTGATTCAACAGAAATTGCCAGTACCTGCATGGTTGAAACAGTTGAAACAGAAACAGAAACTTATCCTTGATGCAGCTTTATTCCCTATGCTATTATTCAGACATAATTATGTATTTTCTTATTACAAATATAGGCGTTCAAGCAATCAAGTGGTGGAGCAAAACCCCCTGGAATGTGGAAGACTATGCTAGGCGTGCTTTCATCGAGGCAAAGCATCAGCCACCCTGAGAATTGTATGCATACTATACTGCATGTTGTCCTGTAACTAATGAATCAGTCAAATCATTGCATGGCTAAAGCACAACAATTGGCCATACCAGCTACATTATTCTCAAAAATTTGTACAAACAAACTAATAATTGAAGCTTTATGTTCTCATTTGTTTTGATTAAGCTATATACTATTGACAGTGCAAACAGCTCGGGGATACCATCTTCTGTGGACTGGTATGGGAGCACAACTTGCACGTGATGTCCCCTTTTCAGCTATATGTTGGATGGTTCTTGAGCCAGTGAGATACTGTACTGAGCTTTAGTATATTATATTATGATTTAGACAATTTGAATTCAGCCAAACCTGTAGAGCTAACTACTTTTTCCACCTGTAAATGCTTTCTGTACAGACTAGGAGACACTTATTGGGATTATTAGCTGGTGAGCAAAGCAATGCCGCAGTTATAATGGGGGCAAACTTCTCCACAGGCTTCATTGCTGGAGTTATCTCTTCTGGCGCAACATGTCCTCTCGATGTTGCCAAGACACGCAGACAAATAGAGGCAAGTAGAGCTTTGGACCGTTAGCTTATCACTAGTTTCCTTAAGACTGCTCTCTACTGTCCTTTGTTAGTTAGATTTATGTGCCCTCGGTCATTCCTGGTACGCAAAGAGCTTGGAATTAACTGCTATCGATAAATAAAATACTTCTTTTTTTTATTTTTGCTCAATATTCTGCGCTTCCTAAATTTACCACTCTCATTTCAGAAGGATCCTGCTAGGGTATTGAGCATGAACACGAGGCGCATACTTCTTGAGGTTTGGAGGTATTTTACATTTCCCTTCAGCAAACTCCGTTGCAACATACCCACCTTAGGTTTTCAATAAGTGCCATCAAAACTCCATAGTCATCAGGGTTAGAAATGGAAAGAGAGTGGAGCCAAAAGTTAGAACAAGAATTAGGCTCCCTAAGCTCTACTAGCATAGAGAAACATGTCCTCTGCGATAGTGAAACTGTTCTCTTCAATAGAACGTGGGACTATAAAATTCTTCATTCAAGAACACATATGCTGATGAGCTAGTAAGCATCATTATGTTTACATTTCCATTAGCCGAATCCTTCTAAATGAGAAAGAGATAGGCTTTGTTTGAGGTTGCTGAACTGTGTTGAATTGTACTTATTTTATAATCTGCTGTGGAAAACTAGCCATAAAGCACGCAAAAGTGAGTAAAACAAACACTAAAATAGAGAAAGGTGGGTGGGGTTAATGGGGATTATGAGAATCCACTACAATACCAAATGCAGCCATAGTCATAATCATTTAGCTACAGTTTGCCAGGTGTTTCAGGCATGCTTAATGGTGTGTTTATTTCAAAACGATTTGCGGTAATTTATTTTTTATCTTGCCGTCAGCATATATTATTTAGTCTTGCATATAGCAAGTTTTCTGCGCAATGCAATGCATATAACACTCGTAACGCGTCACTTGTCACAGGAATGAAGGTATCAACGGCCTATTCAGAGGAGCGGGCCCTCGCATGGCACGGGCTGGGCCTTCGGTGGGCATTGTTGTTTCGTCGTATGAAGTTGTCAAACACATCATGCACAGAAAACATGCAGAGCTATGAGCTTAGATTTAGTCGTATGTAGAACACACGAGCCTTCGGATCAAACCAACAGCGGACCTCCTTCTGATCAAACGTGACTTCACTCTCCTGAAAGCCGGTTTACATTGCATGCCTACCTTATCAGAAGGGGGGTTTGAGTGTCTGTGTAATAATAAAGGGTAGAATGCCCAAAATGTTGTAATTTCTCGTTGCAAGAAGTTTTGGGTCAGTACTGTGTATTTGTGAGATTCTGCTAGGCGTTTGAGCAGCACGATCACGATCAGGGTTAGAGTGATGGGTTCAAAAACCGTAGCAATCTTCAGAGGCAACAGACAATTAAAATTTAGACTCCTTACACGATCCGCCCTGTAACTGTTGGCTCCTTTAAACCTGTTATTATCTCCGAAGTTGACATCGCAGGATCAGGTTTTACTGATCAAATCACAATGCACAAGCACCCAGAAGGGAAATAAATTAATGTCTTCTGCTGATCAGGTCGAAGTGCACAAGCACAGGGAAATAAATTAATGTCTTTTGATGATAGGTCGAAGTGCACAAGCACCCCAGAAGCAAAATAAAGGAATTCTGGGAAGCTGAAATGCTCATCGGGTAACATCAGACGTTATGTAACATAGGATGGTCACTTCGACTGAGAGATTACTTAAGATACAAGTACTCTCTCTGTCTCAAAATAAATGTCTTTGATTTAGTATAACCCAAGATATCTCGATGCAAAAACGGTTCAAGGTGTCGGCTCAATGCCTCTTCTTCCTGCATGTATCTTGGTATACAAAGCACAATAGGCAGGTGTTCCATCAACGTCTGTTCCTTCGGCCTCCCTTCCCCTTTCCTTTCCCCTTTCCCTTTCCTTTCCCTTTCTTACCCTTTCTCATCTCCCGCTCCGGCGCATCTCTGAACGATGACGACGAGGACTGCTTTGGTCCTCCCATGAGGTGCTTCACATCGAGTATACCGTTCTTGAAGCGCCCTTCAGTTGCCCTGAGTACTCGGTCCTCTGGTCTAAGCTTCTCAAATTTCTTATTCTTGTTTTGTTTCCTAAAAATCCCAAGCAGTCTTTCCTGTACAGAGTTATCATGCGTCACTCACTATTCCAGAGCAAACCAGAATCAGAGTAACTGAGAAACATACCTCCTCAATCTTCTTTTGTTCTCTTTTCTGCTGATTCTTCATAGCTGGGATTGCCACAGATAATGGTGTACGCTGCTTCTTAATGGCCTATTGCAGACAAATGAAAACTATTGAGATAGTGCAAAGTTTCAAGTCAGGATATACAAGGAAACAAAGATTACCTTTCCACCCAGTTCAACTACTTTGCGGTTCTGTATTTTATTCTTGTCCTTCCATGTAGTGGCACCTGTGAATATAGCACCGAGTGAATGTTTGAGCCTGAATAAAAACTCGAGATCAAATGGTAAGCGTACAAGGAGAGATGAGCTCACTATTAGTCTGTTTAGTTGAAGAAACACTGACATATAGTCTGTGTAAGAGTAAGCAAAATCTGAAATAATTGGAAATGGTTCTGTTGTATGCCTATGCAAAATGCTAATGGGTTTCACCTCTAGCCTACCCCAACTTGTTTGGGACTAAAGGCTTTGTTGTTGTTGTATGCCTATGCAAAATGCTAATCCTTTTTAACAGCTCGCTAATTGGCTAAGACAGGATCTTCTGGAGCTCTGTTTTGGAAAAGTTGATGTGTGCTTTTGTTTGAGGATGTAGTTCTTTTCGCTGGGTGTGCCTATAGGTTGTAGAATATAATGTGCATTCTGTTCCATATTATAGTTTGGGTTTGAACTTTGAAGACATAATGCTTTCAACTGCGTCTATGTTTCTGTAGATGCTCCAGAAAGAACTTCACTTCCTTTTGGGGAAAGAGTAATATTACTGTTACCATTGTTTGGTTTATGAGTTATTATTATTCAATGTTATGTTTTGCCCAAATGTTTCAGATTTTGCTTCACAAATACGAGATCTTGAATTACAATGTATCCACTACGGTAGTCATCAAATAGCTAGACCAAAGCACGAGCTGTTCTTTGACATAGTATACTAGCAGCTATGGCACATGCTGAAATTTAAACCACATTGAAATAAGCAGAACAAAACAGTTCATAACGCCCGAGGATGCAGCATGAGATAATTACCGAAAAGCTCAACATCTTTCAACAACTTCTCAATATCAATGTCAGGCTCATCATCAGACATGTCGGTAGATTTCGCCGGAGCTGGCTTGTGGTACATATTTGAAAGACTCGACCCCTAGAGGAGAAAAGGCCAGCACAAAATTAGGAACTGATGATGGCTCGGAACAGATGTGCTCCAAGAAAAAAAAAACACAGGGGCAAACCATGAAGTGGTGATACTCGCTGCTCGACGAGGGCGCCTCGGCACGGCGCGGCTTCCGGGGGCCAGAGACGGACGGGTCGAAGACCACCTCGGCCGCCGCTTTGATAGGTCTTGATTTGGGCATCCCCCTCACCATCTTCTTACCCAGCTCGTGGTGGTGCCAAAGTTAGCGGCTCTCGGCGAGGACGGCCGGCAGTACGGGAAGCGGCGACAGGGCAGGCAGCAGGAGGGATTCGGGGTGGACAAAGCGGAGGATATGGAGCCTTGAGCGTCGTTGCCGGACCTGGACGTGGGAGGGGAGCTTAGGGGCGGCGGCGGCGGCGGGGTTGGGGAACCTGGTCGAGGGAGGCTTTGGTTGTGGTGAGTTGGGCTACTGGGCTTTGTTGTGGTTAGCATGTCATTAAACTGGCCCAAGAAACATTTTTTCGAAGGGGAATTACAGGAGGCCTCCTCTTCGTCAAAACATATTTGGCGCCTTAAGCGCCAGTTATTGGCCATTTGGCAACTGGCTCACACCCCTCTTTTCGGGAGCAACTAGTTAACGAGCGCTCCTTAGGAAGCCTCGCAACGATCAGCGCTACTTGGCACACTCTCAGCCATTCGTCACGTGTCGCGTTCTGGACGCTTCCTTCGGATTTTTTTTTATTTTTTCGCACGCGTTTTTGGCTTTTAAAACGGTTTTTTTTGGGTTTTGGTTTTCTCTCCGTCTTACTTAGCTTTTCGATCAAAAAAATTCGAATTTTTTTTTGCGAAAAAACGCGTTTTCTTTTTTTTTCCTTTCATGAAAGTCATAGTTTTTCTTCCGCAAGAGGCACGGTTGTGCTTTAGTGAGAGTCATGGCTGTGCCTCTCGGAAACGAAAAAACGCGTTTTCTGTTTTTTTTTCTTTCGCGAGAGTCACAGTTTTGCTTTCGCGAGAGGCACGGTTATGCTTTCGCGAGAGTCATGGTCGTGCCTCTCGGAAAGGGAAAAACAAAATGTGTTTTCTGTTTTTTTTCGTTCGTGAGAGTCACGGTTTTGCTTCCGCGAGAGGCACGGTTGTGCTTACGCGAAAGTCACGGCCGTGCCTCTCGGAAAGGGAAAAAATACGCGTTTTCTGTTTTTTTTCTTTCGCGAGAGTCACGGTTTTGCTTTCGCGACAGGCACGGTTGTGTTTTTGCGAGAGTCACGGCCGTGACTCTCGGAAACGAAAAAAACATGTTTTCTGTTTTTTTTCCTTACACGAGAGTCACGGTTTTGCTTCCACGAGAGGCACGGTTGTGATTTTGCGAGGGGCACGGGCGTGCCTCTTTCGGAAAGGAAAAAAACCGTGCTCCCGGTTCGGTTTTTTCGCCGGGTTTTTTTTGTCCGTTTTTTTCGTGAAAAAAAGTTCGTTAAAACCTATCAACATGGGATTTAGTTTTGAAGATCTCAACGCGAGGAATCCAATGGTGAAAATGGTTCGAGATTTGGACGCGCGGTTTAAGAGATAAAACATTTTGAATAAACGGATCTACGAAAAAAGGAAAACTCACAGGTTGCGACAAGTGACGCGCTGCATGTGCGCCACTTGTCGCGACCTAAGAAAGTGGAGTGTTCTTTGCAACGAGTACTTCTTAATTCGTCTCTTTCCCCTTCAATATATTACAATGGGCCGGCCCAAATAAGACAAGCCGGAAACTCCCTCCTCCGCTCCCGAGATTTTCTGAAGCTTCCAAAAAGTTTTTTTTGGCTGATTTCGAAAGCTTTTGGAAGGTTTTATCCCTTCATTGGTTTTGGGTTTTTTGGACTGGTTTAGTTTGGTTTTATTAAATAATTTTTTTTTAAAATTGGTAATTTGTTTTCCAAATTCTTGATTATTTTCAATTTGTGAATTCATCAAATTTAAAAACAAAATTTAAACCCTTTTCCTCAAATTGCAAATTTTTTTAATTTGTAAACGTTCTTCCTTAAATTCGTGATCTTCTTTCAAATTAAAGAAAATTTTCATATATTTTTTTTGAACTTTTCCCCTCATATTCATGAAGTTTTTAAATTTTTTGTTAACCTTTACTTTCTAAAATTCATGAACTTTCTTTTGAACCTGTGAGCTCTTTTCAAATTCAGGAACTTTTTGAAATATATGAACTTTTTCCGAGTGTGTAAACTTTTTTCGAAAGGTCGACAGTCAATGTTTCAACGGGTCGGGTGAAAGGTCAAGTCAACTAACAACTCAGAAAAGGTAAACCGTAGCGACCCGAGCTGGACACCCGCTTGCGTTAGTGGGCTAGCCCACACGAGGCGGCGCATGAGCATCGGTTGATCCTATTGGCGCATAAGGCGCCACATATGATTTTTCCACCTCTTCAGTGCCTTCAGTGCCAATTGGTGAACCAGCACCCAGGGTGTCGCCAGCATGGGCTAGTAAATGCTCGCAAGCTCCCACTCACTCGCAAATTATTTTTTTTCTCCTACTTGCTACAGTGCATGCAACTGTTCTTAGAAAAATAAATCTCACTTTTTTAAGTTCATGAGTTTGCAAAACAAAATCACAAATTTGAAAAGTCATACATTTAAGAAAACTGTGATTTTTTAAAATTTCATGAATATAGAAAAAAAATCTGATTTTGAATAAATTCATGCTTTTGGAAAAGTTCAAGGATTTTAAGAAAAATCACGAGTTTTGAAAAAACTTCACAAATTTGAAACAAAAGTTCGCGAGTGTGCAAAAAGTACATGAAATATGATTTGACAATTACACGAGACCTCCTATTCCACGTGCAACTAGAAATGGGCGTTTCCCTGGGAGCTCCTATATATCGCATATTACATCAATCAGCTATGTGACGCCCAGGGGGGCCATAGATTGGCCCGGCCCATGCAGAGTAAACAGTAGCGAGCAACATAATGTAGCGCAACATGCACGGCGGCGTCTATAGCGACGCACACTATGGCACTGTTTATTATTTTTTTGTCAAATTCCTAACTTTATTGCCAACACGGATATTTTTTGAGAACATGCATAATTTTTCAAAAATCCTGACCACTTTTTGGAAAAACAAGAACATTTTTCAATATACTAATTCATTTGAAAAAAATGTATTTTTTGTGGAAATTTCTATTTTCTAGAAAGATGAACAATTTTTTGAAATTGGCGAACATATTTTAAAATTTTGAACAACTATATGAAACAGGAGCATTTTTAGGATACGTGAAACTTTTAGTATTCCCTTAATATTTTATTGATTTTGTGAACAAATTTTAAAAACGTGTACATTTTCTGAAATTCAAAAAATATCTGAAACGAGTTTTTTTAATCCGAAACATTTTATGAATTTGAAACAAATTCTGAAAACTTCTTGACATTTTTCAAAAAAAAGAAAGAAAAACGAAAAAAAGCAAATCGGAAACAGTAGAAAAAACGCGCGATGAGCTGGTTATGAAATTTCTAGAAGGTTCCCAAAACAAATTAAAAACCGAACATGAACCTTCTCGAAAGTTGTTAAAACCGGGATTTGGTAGACCGTGTGTACCGGATAAATGGGCCGGCCCATATCTCAGTCGCTTGGACGACGCCTGTGTCAAGCACTGACTAATTATGTCTAAACATAAGCGCTGACTAATTGACAAAGTGAATTGCCTCAACAAAAAAAAGACAAAGTGAATCCTCAAAAAAAGTCTAATTGACACGCTGAGCGTCTAACAGAGATTACATGTTTTCCTATTTGCCGCACGTTGTAAGCTGTTGCAGCTTTGCACGAGGGAAGCCTGCCAGTGAAGTATGTGGGTCGTCCCATTTTAAACAATAGGCACATGCGATTCTCGTTTCGGTTTTCGAAACCATCTAGAAAGTTCAAGCCAGTTTTATCAGTTTTGGAAACCTTCCAAAAAGTTGGAACCGTTTTTGCATTTCTATGTCTTGTTTTTACTCTATGTTTCTTTGATGTTTTTCATTTTCTTTTTCAAGTTTAATTCTTTTTTCAATGTGCAGAAATGTCAAAAAAATCTCGTTTCAAAATTATGTATTAAAACGTTTGTGTTTTCAAAAAATGATCAGGAATTTCAAATATTGTTCGAAAAAAATCATGTTTTTGGAAATGTTCATATATTTTCAAAAAAATCTCATTTATCAAAAATAAATTGTGTTCCATAAAAAATTTGAAAATTTAGAAAATGTTCACATTTTCACAAATAATGTTTAGATTTACAGGAATTGTTGCCTTTGTTATAAAAAGTTTGGAAAATTCAAAAGGGGTTTTATGTTTTAAATTTTTTAGAATTTCCAATATAATTTTTATTCTTTAGAAAATATATTTTTATAAAATGTTCATGTTTTTAAAAATTTGTTCTGAGTCCTGAGTCCTTTTCTAGAAGAGTTCACCACAGTATTGTTGGCTAGTCGCTACAATACCTCTACTCTAATTCCTTGATTCTACCATCGCACTTTCATCTGATGCGCTACAGTGCTTGATCGTTACATGTGCCTGCTCGCTTTGCTCATGTGCTAGTGGGCCGGCCCAGTCGGATGGCCACCTGTGTTTTTCCGCGACAATCTGCCGCTTCTTGTGGCAGTTAGGAGCTCCGGTTAAATGGGTACCTCGCGCGAGGGAACATTTTGTGCGTAGGGAGTGCTCCAGTGCCGGCACGTGTCGCGCACGAGATGCTCCTCCTGTCAAAACGGTTTTTTGGGTTTTCTCAGAGGGTTTTCCGTTCTTCTATTTTTTGTTCTTTTTGTTTTTGTCAATCATGAGCACATGTGTGTTGTGTTTCTGCGTGAAGCACACACGCAAAAAGTATAAGTGTGCTTTGCGCCCTATGAACACACTTGCTTGTTCATCAAAGTTGTGCTTCCGTGGGAGGCACGGGTGTTCTTCACCCTGCAGGAGCAGGAGTTAGTTTACTTAGAAGCATGGAGCAAATGCAGTTCAAAAACACAAATTAAATTCACTTTAGAAGCACAATTTTCACGTGTAAAAAGTTTGTCGAAATCTATCAACATGAGATCTTATTTTGAAGATCTCGACATGAGAAATCCAACAGTGAAAACGGTTTATAATTTGGATGCAGAATTCACGAGATATTTCATTTTGATAAACATATATGAAAAAAGCAAAAATAAAGCCCTTTTTCAGTTCCTCCTGTGTTGGAAGAAAATTCATCAAAACTCTCAGGTAACGAC